ATAAAATACTGTAATAATGATGCTGGTCTCATCAGCTGGGAGAAAATAGGTTGGTCACTGGAATGATCTTGGCTGTATTGCCACGCATGAGTGCCTAAACTCTCCTACCTGCATAGCGAGTTTGGCGAGTTTTTGCAGTAGTCTCCCGCCTGAATTTCTTTCCCGATGCAGCTAGATATTTATGGAAGCAGAACACCTGCGAACCGGTACCGGGGGCAACACGTGGAGAAGCGCATGCACTGTTGGAAAATGTGGCTTCTCAGGATTCCATTACTAGATGGTTACCGCATCTGATTTGTTTTGTATATGGATACCGAGCTGGATGGTCCGAGTAGGTCCTGTTAGGAAACTGGCTTGCATGGTATAGGACACGTTATTCAAAGCGACTGCTAAACCCATGTAGTATATCAGTACTCCCCTCTCGTAGGAGATGGGATAGAAGATCAATCTTTTTCTACTCTCGTATAAAGTTATATTAGAAACATGCACCTAGCACCAAGTATCGAGTGAGGCTTTATGATTCAAAGCAAGGAAACTCTAGTAGGATGGCCAATACATATGGTATCTGGCAGAAACACAAAGCGTAGACTTGATGGCATTTCGAAGCAGCACCTACCGTCTTTTCAAAAGCCCGTAACTTCGTACCGCCCGCAGGTGACGACCCAGGAAAGCCCTTCAAGGGGCGCAAGAGCAGTCTTCACACAGCAGTGATCAACCAAAGGGAGCCGACGTAACTCGGATCAGTTGCAGTAGGAGTTTTGAATGCCGATCCTTGCCCCCAGCGCATAAGAGATGATTCTAACTATCTAAGAATGCGAAAAAGCCATAGACGGATACCACTTAACGGAATGGAAACATCTGAATACCAAGTGACGAGAGGCGACTCCCATAGTCACGTCCACGAGGCTGCACTGAACCGTTTTGAAGTATGATTCGTGCAACCCAAGGTCATCCTCTGCGAATTCTGTTTTGTACTCGAGATAGAGAACTGCTCATGGCGCCGGAGCTTGATGATACACCCAAAATGGATTCAGGGCTCGGGAACGAAAGTAACGAAAGCTCAATATACCCCAGGAGTACGAAGATACTGACAGTGGCCAAGATTACGATAAGTCATGAGCATCGGGCGCTCTATCACGGTGCTCTTCTGCCGCACACCTATCAATGTAGGGATGCCCATGGCCTTCAGCAGTAGATCGGTGATCCTAACCCCCCACCGAACCCCGCATTGCTCATAACTAGATTTACTTTTTCCCCCGCCGATATCCCTGGTGAGAAATTTTTTTCTTCTTCCCTCTTCAAGGCGGTTCGTTGTTAGACATCAATGATAAATGTTCATAATTTGCCTTCCCTCACGGATACATCTGCTGGAAATACTACATTCAATACCCAACATTATAACATTTAACAACAGACCAAAAGATCCAGATCCACCTGCCAAAATAGGTTAAGTATTTGTTCCTACCAAGATATTAGGTGAAACACCTAGCTAGCCAGGGGTCAAGATGTAAGGTACCAATTGGCACATGTGCAATTAGCACGAGCCAATGGGTTCAATTCCCTTCACCATGGGCTGTTGAGTAATCCGTCAAGTAGGGCAGGATAAGGAATCCTGCACTACGGAAGCCGGGAGACTGAAGACTTTATAGCCTCCTTCGATAAGGCTGCAGGGCAGGCGAACCAGTCCTACTATGATATCATACTAGGAAGCGCAACCCAACTCTAGACCATGCTATCATAGCTGTGAGTTCCGCGACTGCAGGGTACGAGTAGTAGAAGAATATCGAAGGGAGAGAAAAAGGGACAAGAATTACTAAAAAGGGAAGTGGGTTGTTTTGACTCGTTTGGTCTGAAATGGATTAGCACCTAAAATTTCTGAAAGCCATACAAGCTATCCGGGGCGGGCAGGGATGGTTCGGTCTGTACCGTAATGGTGGCTATGTACCACACTTTCGTCATTGATCGCCTTGTAAACTAACCCTGTTTGCTCAAGAAAGTAAGGCGCAAATAGTTATTATTAGCGAGCGGTCGCCAATACTGATTCATTCATCTCTCGAAGGTACTCGAGTATATCATTTCTCTTGTTACTCGCCCACTGTGGGCGTCTCTTCACCCACGAGCACATGGATGGTTAGTAACGCCAGTAGTATATATTGACCCCTAGTATACCGAAAAGGAAGAACTCTTCGCGCGCCTATATCTTAGTTATATGCAAATCCTCCGAGTTCTTTACCAGTGAGTGACTACATGTACATTTTTTCCTTTCCTCGCTGATATCCTATCCTCCTAAGTTCTAGAAACACGAACTAGGGGAGGGCAGCAAAGACATTATCGATATATCATAGCATGAACTCTTTTACCCATCTATTTCAGCGTACAGTGCCGCCCGAGGATAGTATGTGTAGATTAACGAACATAAGCCCTCCATGAATTCCAGCACTGGAGTAAGGATTTCTAAGGCAGAATGCCTACTGCGCTTTTCTGGATGCGGTTTCGGTTTCCTATCTAAGTTACCGCCCAACACAGGATAACCCCCAATTAATTACCGGTAATGGTTCTTGGGAGGGGAGCATTGTGTTCTTTATGTTCTTGGCACTCGTAGTATCCCTCGGATACTCGGACTAGCCGTTTTTGTCCTACAATTGAGAAAATTGGAGAGAGGCTAAAACGGTGCTCCCGTAGCGTCAGGGCGTTGCGTGTGGCAGTGTGACCAAGAGTGATATCATGCTCAAGAGCCACCTCCAAGGACCGTACGAGGAAATCACAATAAATTTAACCTACAGAAAGCTTCACTCTAGAGCGCAACCCCCTCGGCATTTTTAGTAGTATCACAGGGGATCTTGGCTATCGGATAAGGTAATTTTGGCAATTTTGGCCGCCCCTACTCTCGGAGGATATTCTTCGCTTTGCTTAGGGCATTCACTATCTTCTATTTTAGAGGAACTGCAAGCATATATTCTCTTTGTTGGGAGCCGTATGATGCTAAACTACTGGACATTCGTATCATGAGGTTCTGTTGGAACCAATTCCCGCAGTGATGGCACTGGATTTCCATAAATCCCGACAGAGAAACAGAAGAAGTGGTGGCCCGGCCCCAGCAGTGGTGGAATTGAGTGGTCTTGCGTTTCCCGATGGTTTGGCTCTGACGTGCGCCCAAGAGTTCAGAGATACGCTGACTATCGGTCCCAGGTCACTGGTTGTAGAGATCCCAGTAAATTGAAAAAAAAAATTAGAGGGTTTGTTGCAGCGAATTTTTAGCGTAACGGCGGAGCTAATATTCTGCTATGATATTAGATTAGTCGATATGATAACCTCCCAGGGTATTGGTTTGCCACTAATACCCCGATTAGTACTTATCACAACGGAGGCAAGTTCGCTGATATAATCGATAAAACACCTGGGAGGGAAGGTATTGAACGGCGGGTTGTGAAAGAGTACGAACGCGTGTCGGACGTACCTAGAGCCCAGGAACTCCATTCTCCAGGTCATATCTGGGTCCCCTACCTGTACGGATTTTCGTGACCTCTAGCAAGTCTTGCTGCAAAGCTCACATATCGACATCATTGCAGTGATAACTGCAGAATTGTAATAGAATAACTCCGTGAGCAGTATCCCTACCACTGCCCAAGTCTAAACTAAAATAATAATAAAAAGATTGCTGACTGGTGTCTATAACCTGACAGTTAATTTGCCGTCACTGCTATGATAGCATTAGCGGGAAGGTTGGGAGTCTAACTCCCAGCCGGAGGATGGACCTATGCAGCGGGCACTAAGAGGGGGGGGTGATCTCTAGTAAACCACCCTTCACTAGCTAGCTGGCTCGCTGGCCTTTTACCCTGGGACCCCCCCGGATATCGTGCATAAAGCAGAAGTTTAAGCGTAGTAGCCAAGCAGGTGGATGAATGACACTCTCTCGCACTTTAGAGCTCCGTGTCCGCGGATGGCAACACTTCACATAGAGACGGCGGTTTCTTGCTAGATGCACCGGTATATGCTGTACGGCATTAATCAGCAGGCCCTAGTCTACAGCAGATAGGTGTGATACATATCACGCGAATTTGCTAATAATTACCTTACGGTGTCGTCAGTATAGTACTCTAAGGTGGGCGCTGCGCCTTACAGTTCAAAACATGGACGTGCTTATGAGGGCAAGCACGACGAAGCTAAGATGTGACGGGGAGAATCTAGGACATCTGACGGATCAAAATATTGAATAGGTTACCGACAGCACGTGAAGGGAAAACAAGTACTTTTTACTGAGAATCTGCCAGAACCACCGAGAAAATGGTTTACTCGGCCGCAGTAACGTATCGGCCTGTTGTCCACAAAAACGTCACGCAACTTGTATTTCCAAAAAAGGTGGATTTCCAATCCAATCTTGTGCGGTAGTATCAATCAATTATCAAGGGAGCGGGAAGTGCATACTGCTAAATGGAACTGCCAGATAATGATTTGTAGGAATCTCCCGAAAGTCTGTGTGTGTATGTGCTGGTGGTTATATCGATAGCGAGACTGTGGTTTGCAGTAGCGGTAGCGCAGGGCTCTATTGCGCCAGCTCTCGGTAACTTACATTCTAGTCCAAGAGGTTGAAATTGCGGAGGGTTACCCTACCTTCATCATCCTTCGGTCGACCAGGCTGGCTCTTTGGATGTGAAACCATCTCGCAGACACTCAAACGAGAGTTGTGTCCAATCCTTTAACCGCACGAGAGCACTGCAGCCAAACATTCGTCCATCATGTCGAACGACAAGTTCAAATATCGTGTTGAAATCCAGCAAGTACTGTGCCCCCTCCACTCTGGTGCGCTGTACGTGGTATTTTTCAAGGCTAACGGGCGTAGATGATGTTCGTTTCGGGTGAAACCGGCGAACCGTCTGCAGAAACCACAGGAATCATCGAGGAGATTGTGCGGGGTCAGGTTATCGAGATGGTATCATTTTTAAAGTCTACATTGCGGCTCGGGACCCTGACTTGCTACAGCTGCAACAATGCACTAATCTTGCGTCACGTCGCGGGTCCCGCTCCATTTCGACCGACGACCTCATCTTCCTCATACGTCACGACAAAGCAAAGGTCTCTCGCCTGCGAACTTATTTATCCTGGAAAGATGTTAGGAAAACCGCTAAAGATAACGATCCATCTGGGGGAGCTGGCGCCCCGGATCCCGCCGACCTTCTCGACGACGCGGCTGCAGGTATTGCGGGTGGGGCCGGGCCGGTTCAGATGAGGCAGAAGAAGGCAAAGATCGGACTTCCATGGGAGGTGGCTAGTTTTTTCTCGGAGCAAGTCCCTGAACGCGAGGAAGATGAAGACGAAGACGAGGTAGAAGCCAACGCGGCCACACTGCAGCGCCTCAAGAATGCAGATGAACGGACGAGAGGTATGACTAGGGATGAATACGTGCATTGGTCCGAATGCCGCCAGGCTTCCTTCACATTTCGCAAAGGGAAGAGATTTCGGGAGTGGGCTGGGTTTGGAACTGTCACAGATGCGAAACCCAACGATGATATTGTCGACATTCTGGGCTTCCTGACCTTCGAGATTGTGCAGACCCTTACAGAGGAAGCTTTGAAGGTAAAGGAATTAGAGGACCATGTTTTAATGGAGAGCCGAGAGAAGAGCAAAAAGAGGAAGCGGGAAAAGTTCTTGTTTCATGCTGAGGAGGGAAGGACGCCTATTGAACCACGGCATGTTGAAGAGGCTTTCCGGAGATTACAAGTCCCAAAGCCCAAATCCCGGGCCATGAGGAACTTCTCGGGCGGAGTAGTCAAGTCAAAATTGACTTTGGTATAGGATTCCAGGAGCTCCACATAAGGTCGTCGCGGCCCACAGCTTACGGCGACACAATAGTGGGGGATTTATGTGTGGAGCCGGTGTTTTTTTTACTCGTTTCTTGTTTCTGTTTGTACCTTGTTGACTTGCAGGTGGCTGATCTTACTTAATGTCATCTCTTATTCTCTCATGCATTGGGACGGGGTTCTTCTGGTCTGTTCTTTCTGGTCTGGTTACTTCAATTTGTTCATATTAGGGGGAGATCGGGATATTCCTGCGAGTATAGAGGAGTAGTATGTAGACGCCTGCTCGGTTAATGCTTTATATTATGCATCCAGGTGCTCGCCGCATGGATTACAACATCTCCATTCTGCCATTTATCTACTAGGCCTTGTTCGGGGAGATAGGAAAAAAGAGGGGCTGATGCATGACATAGATTATGTTCCCGCTCTCTTTGGGCTGAAGAGACAAGTTGAAACTATCATTGACCACTTAGGTGGCAGGTAGGCACCCTTAAACATCTGGATCCATCAAAAGGTCTTTCTCCTATCATATTTCTCATGATGAGTAGCAAAATTGTGATCGCCGGATGGTCATGACGGGAGGGATACAAGACATTCCAGGGCACCGTTTCACACCTTCCCAGCGATTCCCGAAAGTTTCCTGATCTTCGAAATATCGTCCTGTTGTCACCCGCTGCGGAGGCGAAATTAGGTAACGAATGGCGAGACCAGGAGAAGAAAGGCTTCGGAAAAGGGTACCAGTGGAACAAAGAACAAGCTAGGCTACAATAGGAATACCTGCCATAAAAGGGAATCACAACAACAAGAAAAAAACAGTAGGAACGCCTCAGAGTGGTTATGGAAAATCCAAAGGGGGGGATGTCGGTTTCAATCAAGGTGCTTGTAAAAGTGCCAAGGGAGGTGTCTTCGTGCCCGGATCATGCAAACCGGTGATTATTTCGCAGGATAACCTGAGTTAACCGCTCACCAACTTTCGATCGGGCTCTTGTAGGGTTCTGGCGGGGAAAGGAAAAGAAAGGGACTCAAAGTGTGATGTTTACCACAGCTGAGGCTCCGCCTTTCACCAGACATAATATTGAGACCATTACCGTATCCTGTCCACTCCGCCAACACCCCCCCAGACCGGGTAACTTTGACCCTCCCACCAACCCACCAACCCACAACTGTATTTTCCTGCCCCAAGCAACGTTTCCGACCCTCTGCCCTAGAACAACTTTACCTTGCAGCCGGGGAACTCATACTCGCCCGACCAGAAATGATTAAGGGCACACCTTCCACTCAACAACCGTCCACCACCCGCGCATGTACATAATGCCATTCTCACCCTCCAGTCCAGTTCCCCCCAAGATCCGTCCGAAGAGTTATCCATGCCCAGTCGCCGAATGCACTAAGCTGTTCACCTGCGAGCGCGGCATCAGGGACCACCTTTCACTGTACAAGGAACGCTTTCAAGATTACGCCTACAAGGCTTTGGAAGAGCAGTTCGCGTTCTGCTCCGATCCTCCCGAAACAAAGGAGACTGAGACTACCCCCGTCAAGAAGGCCCCTCGTGAGAGCGGTCGGGAGAGTTTCAATTATCTCAGCGCTCATTACGAGGCTTGGAAAAACAAATACGGTATGTATTACTTTTTGTCTCCCCGGTCGTTCTTTTTTTTTTTTTTTTTCCCTTTCTCTCAGTTTTTCCCTTCATCGGCTGCCGGGGGAATGAGTTATCATGTGGATGAGGATGTGGGATTGATTTCGTGCTAATTTGAAGGTGCGGCGGATCCAGCTCAGAGCAACAAGGAGAGCTTCGAATCCAGACATCGGCAGGCTGCCCGCAAATACCGTCTCAACAACAAGGAGAAGGTCCGACGTATGGTTAAGCTTAGCAAGTTCCGAGCCAAGGCCAAAAAGATGGGTTTCGGGGGTGACGAGGCCGAAGCCAATGCTCAAGTCTGGATAGCCGCATGGGAGAAGAAGTATGCCGAGTCCACGACAAAGTGCGAAACAGGAGAGGAGGACGAAGAGGAAATTGATGCGATAACTTCCATGCAACCCATGCGGTCTATGCAATCCATGTCACCAATGTCGCCTATGCCGCCCATTGGACCCGTTCAATCGATGCCGTCTTAGGTCGTCATCTTTTTTGTAAAGCGCTGAAGTTCCTGTGTGCTTTCGTTGCCCCTCTACCCTTCCCTCTTGGTTTCCTAATTTTCTCCTCAGGTCCTGCTATCGAATACTCCCCCCCTCCCTGCTGTTTTTTCGCCAGTTTTTCATATGTTATCTGAGTTCGGTTTCATCGGTGGGGTTTAATAAGGTGCACTTGTACTGTACGGGTCGGTCATCTTTTAGTAGATAAAACGGGGCTGCAGGCGGGCAGAGTCGATGGAAGGCGGGAAAGTATGGCTGGAGATGTGTTCCTTTGGTTGCTTTTCTTTTTTATTCCTTCCCCCCTCTCCAGCCGTGATCATGAGAGAAGTCCCAACACGCATTACGACATGATGTCTCTCCTTTCATTCCCCCTTTCCTACTTCATCTGTAGATGCTGAGATCCCGATCTCTTTGGGTTTCCGTCGTTTATCACGCTTTAATGGCTTTGTTTATTCTATGGGATACCTGAGTCCTTTCAAATCTTGTTTTCCTCTCATTATTCCACCCTATTTCCACAATTGCGGGGAGTTCTCGTCGTTTCCTCCAGCTCTAAAATATCACTTTCTCCACCCTCATTTCCTGCCGCCTCCGTCTGCAAAAGAAGGATATTACTTACTTTTTCGACTTTTTATTTTTTATTTCTCATTGCGCACGGCATGGGCGGGTGAAATTGGTATACCGGCGTTTTTCCTTTTTAATGAGAAAAGTCATTGTTCGAGAAAATTTCTTCCGTGATACACGTTTTTTGTTGCCTCTGTTATGACGGTTCTCTCCCTCTCTCTCTCGCCCGCACCTTTCTCCCCTTATTCCTTCCTTCTTTTTCCCATGGTCCGAATACTTTTCAATGCGGAGGATCAATGATACAGAATGACATCCTGGAATGTGAATTAACGTGATAACGGTGTTGCCACTAGTGCGTTGGTTGAGTGAGCGCTTTGCTAAAGACGGGCTTAGCTCAACATCATTAACCATCTGTCCTTTTTATGTTTCACGATGCTTTCCCCCCTGGCTATGATAGTAGATATTCCTGCGATAGCACACAGCACAGCGGGCACCCCCCTCTCTCCCTACCTGCCCAAGTTACCTGCCATACTACTCGTATGCCATGCTGGTATCCATCTTTCCTTTGAGCAACCTACGGTAGGATCGCTCCTCGCTAAAGGCACAGGCATCTGGGCTCTTCATGTTCAACTCATCTCTGCTCACAAGTGCATTTTGTTTCACTGGCACGGTTATTCCCAAGGTAGCCACGTTACCTATCCAACCTAGCTCGAGTGTGATGGCGATGAGCGGGGGCGGTTATTCGAGGCCGGCCGGCGGGCGGGAAAAAGGTGATCCCGGCTGCCGGCGATACCGAAGGGCACTGCCCTCATATATGTTGCCACCTACCCATACCAATTCTACCATTCTCCCTAATACTCAGACCTCTTTGCCCTTCTTTTTTCTTTGCGGAACAGGAATGGCGAATCTTTCAGCCTTCACCAATACTCTAGACCATCGAGCCCCCTCGAAATTGCCTATATTCATAACCCACGAACTACAATGTGATTATCGCGGAGCAGCTTCCTTTTTGCTTTCTTTTTCTACCCGTTTTCTCAGCCCCAACGCAGCCACTCCTGGATGACTGACACTCCACCACAATGCGTCTCCCATCTCGCTAAGCCAGTTATCAACACGGTGCGTTATCAGCCCACACACACTAGGGTCCAACATTATGGTCGTGGAGTGGTTCGATACAATCACCGGCAACGCAATAAGGCCAGTGCTGTGCAGTAGGGCACAACGGTATTTCAACATGGAATTTACAGCTGCTATGCCGGGAAGCGAAGCTGCCTAAACATCCTTGGCCAGTTTTCTTGTTGTATTCTGCGTATGGTACGCGACATGAGCAGAAGATCCATGTGTGTGGTGATGCGGGTATCTTGGTCGTCTAGCATCCATTTCGCCCCATAATCGGAGCGGATTCGAATCTGGCCGCTGGTTCCATTTGATTTATATGACCTATCCTAGCGGAAAGGTAGGATAGCAGGAGAGGGAGCTGATTGGTAGCCCTATGGTGGGATTTTGTTTCATTATTCTTTTCCCTTGTGGATAAGTTACGGTAGTGTGGTTGTCCGGATCGTTGGGATAAAATGGCGAAGTTGGTCCTCGGTCGTCTTACCTGCATGAAATGAACCCTTGACTCCGCCTTTCGAGATCGCAGCATGTGAGTTCTTTTGTTCTGGGATCGCTGATGCTTCGCATGGTGGGTCTCAGCCCTGATGTTTCCCTCTCTTAAACGATTTATAATGTATATCAGCCGTTTTGCTTTTAAACATCGCTGGAAATGAGCGGGTGAAAAGCTACTTTTTCAATTAGTATTCTACTGTGCAGTATCTGCAACTGCTACAGCTACTACAGCTACTACAGCTACTACAGCTCCAACCGCAGCAGCAGCAGCAACTGCACCAGAAACCGCACCAGCACAACTGCAGCTTCACCAAGTGATATTCTATTTTGCACAATGGGGGTCATTCCACGACTTGCCGGATCCACGAACGCCCCTAATAACACCGCACGGACTCCGAATGAGAGTTTCTATCTTATTTTCGCACCAGCAGACTTTACACATCCTGCAGTACTCGACCCAGGGTATATTCCGGATACGAGGGATTCACTATTGAAAGGGTTCGCTCTGGCGCCGTTGGTGATTGCGATTATCGCCGTTGGACTAAGGATTTATTCTCGATTGCGGATACTAAAGAAGCTAGGATGGGATGATTGGGCCATTATCCCAGCTCTGGTAAGCGAACAGAAGCAGCAACCCTATCACTTTCGACATATTATCTTCCCTCTTTGAAGCTTTCTTGCTCGCTCTTGGAGGGAGATTCATCTCACTGACGAAAGTCGAATCCGTTTGGGGGATGCAGGTAGCATATACAGCTTACACCGGGTTGATCTTATGGGGTACGTTTCTAGGGAATCATGATACCCGTGATCGAATTCTGTGCCTGAAGTGCGACGCTGACTCTGAGCGCTGTTTTGGGCAATAATAGGAACTGAAAGCGCTGGTTTGGCGGAGCATCTATATAACCTTACAAATGGGCAGATCCTCAACTGGTTCAAGGTCGGTACATTTAAGTTTATGATTCTGTCCTCTCCTTCCTTCATCTTCACACGCATGCTCCCTAGGGCCTATATACATACCCCGAATCATAGTACATATGCGGTAGAGAGAGATATTAACATACAGTCACCGGCGGCACCAGGTCCAATACCTCCTGGTAATAGTTGCGCCAATAACCTTCCTGCTGATACGATTCTCGATCCTCCTCTTCCTGCACAGGCTCGTCGGAAATGGCGAGCCCGGCGCCCAAATTACTATCAACATCCTCCACGCGCTTAACTTCCTCTGGTACCCCGCCACTGTCCTGCCCCCCGCGCTGATGTGCGCTCCGAGGGAGATGCGGATGTGGGACCTTATGGCGGTTATTAGGGCGCAGTGCCTCCAGCCAAAAGTTGTCGACAGCATGCAGATTAACTCTACGTTTATGGTTGCACTCAGTGCTTCATTTGATATTGCATGCTTGCTGGTGCCCTTGCGCCTAGTATGGAAGTTGAGGATGTCGATGAGGAAGAAGGTGGTGATTTCCAGCCTCTTTGGGGTGGGGATATTGTGGGTTCTGCTTCTAGCGTTGAATATGAATAGGTTGCTGATTGTAGTAGGGCTTGTGTGTGTGGAATTCTGAGGGCGTATTTCATGGCAAGGTTGATGGAAAAGGACGGGTTCAGTTCTGATTCCACTTGTATAACTCCCCTTATATCTTCCTGTTCCATGCATATATCGGTACTCATATGGTTAGGGAATATGGTGAACCCTCTGGTTTGCGCACATATGGAAGCCTGCCTCGGCATCATCACTGCCTGCGGACCCTCTCTGAAGATGCTCTGGAAACAACTCTATGGCACTCCAGAACCACCAGTTGGCAAACGGCCAACCACCGGAAAATCTAGTCTAATCGGAGCTAAAAGATTGTCGGATAGATCGAGGCAAGGTGTAGATTCTTCCCCCTTGGGTGAGGCGGTCATGAGCAACCCACCGCCATAAACCTAGATGTCGAGCCTTCTTTACGTCTTTTTTCATACCACACCCTAATCGGAGAACCACGCCGACGGAATTCAATACCCCGGCTGTGGCGGGGGGGGAGGCCACTGAGAATACCCGATTGGCAGGAACTTCTCAATCGATTCTCAGGAGGCATTCTTATAGGTTATTGGGGGGATTTCAATTGCTAGAATTATCCACAAGTCTCCCATCCTCGGGCACTTCAGGCCCCGGGGCTCTCCAAACATGGGATTTTTGTATTCCAATTTCATATCTATGACGCTCGGGCCGGGACACCGTGGCACTGGATAATTTAGATGATATAGAGGGGTATAGGCGGGACGGAGTTAACAAATACTCCTAGGTTGAAATGAAAAAAGTCTTAGCTAGAGCACCTATCCGGCAATGTACTACCGATAGCATCCGCGCAATAAATCTAGTGAAACGACGGCAAGGTAGCCCACAACCTGTACTACTACACGTGCGCCGGGGCCGGTCACCGGTCTTCTCGCATCAGCACCCAACTCGCCTCGCCACCAGCTGTTCGCCATTCCTAAGATATTGGTGATCCCGGAGCTTGCTTTTCAGTTTTGAACATAAAATTATGTGAAGAGGAATTGATCTGAATATAGTTTAGGATCAAAGATGAATTTTCCTACTCGCACTACCAAGCTGTAGTAACCAAGGAAAGAATTATCTTCTGCATATACCCGCTCTGTATTATGTATAATTGTAATACACCAAGGAAATATCTAGAAGTTATATCAATTGTATGCGTATATCACATGACCGACATGTAGATATAACTTAAATCGTAATATAAAATCATAATATTATCATTCAATACTTTTCCAAGTTAGTTCAATCAATTTCTTTGCTGACCTTTTACATATGTCCCACAACAATCTTTTTTATTTCTCTCAATTCAATTGTCTAGTGATGATATATCAAATAAATATTTTTAATTCTGTTTAAAAGACCATGATTTTCAATATACTTGATAGCAGTAGTAGCAGTAGTAGTATAATTATAATATATATCCAAAAACAGGTAATATTGAGCAACTTTGAACTACTATTAATCCAAATTCTTTTCCAAGCTGAGAATACTAAAGTAATATATCATACTATCTACTATGAGCTGTTAGGTAGTATTAGTAGGTTAAAAGAAAAAGTAGCTGAAATAAAACTCATAAATTTAAGTCTATCAGAGATGAAAAAGAAGTTCTACTACTTGTAGAAGGCCAAGACTTATAAAAGCAGAATATATGAGATAAAGGCCATCTGTAAAGATTACTAATAGCTAATATAATAAATAGTAGAGAAAAGGTTTAGAAAGTATTATTTATCAATCACTACTATCAGTATTTTTATCTTTTCAAATTGATGACTTTTTAACTTTCTTATATGCTACCAGGTAACTCTTTACTTTCCAATAGATAAGTTACAAGAGCTTTTTACTAATTACCTGAATCCTTATATGATATAAGTTGAATGAAATATCTATTTCATTTAAGTTACTAAATAGGTAGATATAGACATATTTAATTACTATAAACAAAGTCAAATATTGTACTAATATAGTAAACTAAATCAACTGCTTAATTTAACAGACATACTGCTTAATTATTTTTCTTATAATATCTCATTCACCTCTAGCTGTAACTAACAAGATATATCCTACTAGTACAAACCTCTTAAGGGCTCAAAGATCATCAATATATGATATAGGTATTCTTTAATAGATAAATGAGGACTCTAAAGGAGGTAATACTAGTCATCATATTCTTTAAAGAGGATAGTGGGAAGTAGTATTAGGCAGTAATATCTATTTTTATTTGAGAAGCTCTTTTGTTTCAAGAAACTTGAATATATAATACTCCAGTTCCATGCCAGTTCCCACAACCCTGATCTCATAACCTGAAAATACAGGTATCATAATTCTAAATATAAAGTTATATGAACAAGTATTGAACCCAATATTATAGTTTAAATCAAGAATGAATTTCCCTGCTTGTACTATCAACCTAAGTAGCCTACCTCCCTGCCTATTGTGTCGAGGATACCTAAGCTCAATGCGTGGTGCACCACAAACGCCTTACCAAAAAAAGCTTTGCAATCCCGTAAGAGCTTCGAGAATTGGTTTTCATCAAGGATGGCACAATACAAAGTGACATATCGGCACTTGGAGCAACGCAAGCGCCAAGATGCGATACCATACCACAAGCGCTGCAGGCAGTGCTTTGCCGTCCACGAAGCGCAAGTACAGGACGGGGAGTATGCCGGAAAGGGACCTCTATTTGTTCCCTAAGCGCGACCTTTCAGGGTTTTGTATCCGTGCATAGAGTGATATCCCTGTCAGACTAACATATTTGGTTGGGATGGGAGGTGGGCGCTCATAAGTTGTCACTCGGGAAGGTTGTTGCTGTAGGCGTTAGCCTTGGTGGTGGAAGTTCATAGTTCTCCGGAACGAAGCGGAGGGACTGGTCTAAGGGCAGCCGAGGGCTTCTCTTACTCCTGGTCGGTCGGCTTGTGCAAAGGAGAGCCATTGGCCAAGAGTCTGGCCTACTGATAGACAAAGTCCTATACCCTGTTATGTTGACTCCCGGGGGGGTGCGAGACTACCGGTATCATTGTTCCCATTTAGCACCGGCTGTTGGTTCCGATATTTAGTGGCGATTGGCTTCTCAGAGAGTACGATACCTGTGCTTGAGCACTATTGTTGTTTATCTGATTGTTGTATATGTATTCCTGGTGTTTGAGAGCAAGATACCTGACGGCAAGCAAGGAGTGATCGAGTTCCGCTACCGAGAGGGATAAGTTCTGTCCATTGTGCTTGATATAACTGAGCTACCTTACAGCCCCAACCTATTTTTATAAGCCCAATATACCCTCCAGACTATCATTTATTGATGTACTTTGCTCCTCCTAGTCTGGTGTACTGTACTGTACTCGGAATCGGCCACCGACCGCTCACCAACTTAGCAACTTACTCCTCAATCGTAGGATACTAGTGGGTGCAGCAGTCAACGTTCATTAGTGAAAACGTCCCCCTCTCCTTATTCACCCGCCACGATTGTTCAGATCGTTTACCACGGCGCACAGAGAGAACCCTTCTAGCGCTCGCGGAGAAACCGATCCGCAAGCTACAAGTGGCTCCTCAGTTCGGACATATCTAGCTCTGTCCGTCCGCCAGGCATATTGGGGGATTTGAATAGGTCAAAGGAAGAATTCCCTAATGCGGCGCGGGGGTTCAAGACCCCTTTTGGGTCGCCGACCAAAAAAAAAACACCCGGACCGAGGGGATACTCGTGCGTCGACCACCGTGAATGCTTGTTTTGGAGAGAAATTCTATCGTCAGAGCGTTGGCACCAGGGAACTACCATAGTGCGTGACCTACTGCATTTGTCGCGATTGAGAAATGCACTTGCTCTCGCCTCCGCGATGGAAGTACTGACTCGTTCAAAGGCGTCTCCAAGGCTTATTTTGGCCATCTGGCAATTTTTCTTTACTTTTATTTTGTTGCTGCCTCCGCTCACTGCTATGCGCCGCTGGGGGTTTTGATTGAGACGTGGTGGAATTCCCCCTCTTCCGCAGGTATCCCGTGCTGGATAGGTAGCTAGCTTTCTTGAACTGCATGTCGCAGTCTCTATGGATGGAGGGTTTGAAACGGAAATCACAATGCAGGATGGCAAGATGGAAAGATGTTGGTTGATGCACTGTGCAGTGCACCCAATATGCAATATGTGCCTCGGCCCCTTGATTTCGAACACCCGAACGCAGCTTAGTGTGGAGGTTCCATCCCTAAAACTGAAAGCCAGCTCATGCATTTCAGTTCATCAGCACTTTTTTCTCTTCTTTTCTTTTCTTTTTCTTTTTCTTTTTCTTCTTCTCCCCTTTTTTGTCTTTTGCCAACAATACTCAGACCACGGTATCCAGAATCACATCACGATCAAGCGGTATTCACGAGATGGCTGAAATAATATTAAGCAATTCTTCTTCCAGTTCCAACCGAGACGTTCCATCTCGAGCCCCAGACACAACATAACAAATCAATCCCCCAGCAATCCCTAAAAAACTCTTGCATAAAACCCAGAACGTACCACGCAGTCATCCCTACGTCTTCCTCCTGTTCCGAGAGCCTACCACCAGAGGAAGCTCGCGTTTCCTAAAACCCACACGCACTCGGTACCACCAGCACCCAGGTCACGTCTACCCTCCCGAGCGTGACTGCCTGTCCGCCCGTAAGAGTGTCCAGAGCGGTCCGTGAAAGGACAAACGTACCGGCGGCCGCCACGTCCACAGCGACGATGTTGATGGTCTTTGGGGGGGAGCGAGGAGGCGTGTACGTCAACGCGTAGCAGGCACCGCAATTCGTCGAGTTCCATCCCGGGATGGTGCCGGATCCCCCCAGGTTGGGGAACCCGGGAATGCTTCCCAGGGTAGGGTAGCCCTTCGTGTAGAGCCCATTCGCACCGTCGCTGCAGGCTACCGCGAGCGTCGAGAGGTTGGCGTTGTCATAGATGGTGTCGTATTTGGCTACACCCGTGCTTTGTGCTAGGGTGAGGGTCAGGATGGCCGTTAGGAGGAGGATCGGTTTCAGGAATTGCATTATACTATCTCTTCCGTCCTGGTGTTCCTATTGGAGTGATATAGTATGGGGCGTGTGGCGTGTGGCGGGTGGCGGGTGCCTTGTTTTTCGTGCAGAAAAAACGAGTGATCTCGGCGATGATACGGTAGTGGGAGAGTATTGATAAAACTCGGACACTGGTATGATGGCGATAGCATTTCGTGGATGAATTTAACAGTTTATATACATCTCCCCTCTCTTCTCGACAGAAGCTGTTCCCTTTTCCCCGCCTCCGGGGATCTGAAGATATTACTCAAGATCCCCTCCTCCTCCTCCTCCAGGCCTCGTATCTTTTGTTGATTAAACATAAAAATCGTGGGTCCGGACAGAATGGTGCTGTGCAAGGGAATCACCAGACCATATGTCGATCACCGTTCCCCTCAGATGACTGAGCTTGTGTACCGGTGCCTCGTATCTCTTAGCCGCTTTTCCGCTTTATACCGCTCACCCAGAGCACGGGATACCCCAAACCTCGATGATAGCGAGAATCCGCCCCGCCATACAGGGAAAATTTCACGAATCTCGGTTTGCCCTGATCTCGTAAGTGTATAACTGATGACAACGCTCGTACGAGTACAGTACTGTACGGGAGGATGTTTTTGTTACTATTTATGGCAGTTGTGGTTATTACCGATATTTAAAGCCGTATCCGGGTATTGGTTCCCTGAGAGATGAGGGGCTGCCACGACGTAATGATTTCCCTCACTTTCCTTTCCCCGGAATTCAGCGGAACTTGGGAATCAATGATTCGCCGTGGGGAATTCATAATCGAGGGTTTGATCCGTCGGGAAGGATTAGGTGCAATTATTGCTTGTAAGCAGGCTTACAAAAGTGCAATAAGGACCAGCGAGAGGATGGAGCGGGGAGAAAGAAAGAAAGTGAACGATTGAGGGAGGGAGAAGACCAAACGAAAGATAATTTACCTGATTTGTGCACACGTGGACCTGTTCATGATTTATACCTGAGGCCGATCAGGATTACGGTTAGGTGCTGTAATCTGGGACTGTTTGGAGATCCGAGGTTGGAGAAATTGGGATATGGAGAAGTCATGTTTCTCCTCAGGCCTTTCTTTTGTCGGGCACGGGTCGTAATGCAGGACCTGTAGGATCCTGCAACTTCAAAGCTTCATTTTCCGCACTTCTTAATCGAAGGGTTCAGTTGGGCCGACCTATCCTAGCCGCTTGACAAATCCCTTCGACCTTACTTGCCAAAGCTCTCGGGGCGCTTTATGACCTGTCTGAATAATCAACAATTGGAAGAACTCATACGGTAACTTGCGTTTTCACGAAAATGTTCCGAGAGCGTTACAATAAATTCAGTTTACCACGCAAATTTAATACAGCAGAAACTAAACCCGAAGCTCCTCCAAGCAACTCATTTTTCTGTCCCCCTGTATAGACTTCCTAGAGCACAGCAAGGGCTTAAAGACTCATGGAGTATTATTTTTGTATAACTCCCATCGGAATGCTTAAGAACCTCAGTGAGCATGAAAACATACCTGCAGACTCGATGACGAGCCAGGGTAGTAAATATCTTGTGACGGAACATTCCATATCAAATCAACGCAGAAACCAAGCAAGATCTTATCAACGGGGGGGAACTCCAGAGGGGATGAGCGAGATTCCATGTGCAGTGTAAAGCAATGCTAAAATTCCTGCCAATTGCCATAAAATGTCAAGCGTTCGCTCATGCCTTGTGGCTACCATTGTGACATCTTGATCGATTTCTGGTTTTTATCTGGGAATATACCGTTGTTTCCTTAGTTCATAGCTAGTATGAGTAAAGGCAGCCGTGGTAGGAAGACATGCACCGGTAAGTAGGTAGGAAGCAACAGCCGCGACCTACTAACGCCGCCCTTTACCCTCTAGTATACACGCTCCTGGGTGCGGAAGAAGCATACCGAGTAGAGCAACAAATAAAGCATGGGAATTGAAATCGTCGAAATCAAACCTCTTGCATCCACTTCACTACTTTTCCTTTCCCTTCCCTTAAGACAAAGACAGAAAAAGAAGGTGCACTTACTACAACCACAGCCTTAACGATCCATTCTCCCTATTCACTTGCTATTTCAACTTGAGCCCCGCAGAACCTGGGAGTAACAAGAGAAAGCTTCAGATCTCCAACCCCAAATCCTGGTCCGCCGTTGTCCCGTTTATATTCGAGCACTGCTACTCGAGTAGTCTTCCCTTAACTTTCGTACCTTCTCAAGGGTCTAAAAGTTGGGGTGGGGTATTAAGAAAAAAATAAAGGGTGTCAGGTAAGAAGTGGGGGGCAGAGGCGGAGTTATATAGCCAGGTAGACAAACGGGCCTTGGCAAGGGCTGGGTGCTAAAGGGTTATCTCCGAGGAGGAAACGAGGCAAGTCATTATCGTTCTATGATACCGGGCCTTTTTTGGCTTTTGCTGAGCGGGGGGAACTCCAGCAAAGGTGCATCTGTTCCATCACAACTCACTTGTAATGGGCTCCGGCACTGTGCTCGAAAATTTTTGGAGAGCTATTTAGGAGAAGAGGGAAGGAAAAAAAGTGTTCTCGTATAACGGCAATTGTCCTAGAATAACGATGCCATAACCAGGAGGCATTCCTACAAAGGGCGAGAGTGGTAGAGCATTTTTACCACCAGCGCTAGAGCCAGTACTACAAAAATCACCCAATTGGGGTTTTCCAATCGACCGCCATTCTGACTGAAGTGCTGGGATGACGCCTTGAGATCCCTTTGCAAAGTGATTGATTCCACGCATCACCGTGCTCGAGCACTCGAGTAGCCCCAGGTTGGTGGCACAGACAGGGCTAACTTACCACACATTTTCATTTTTCCGCAGCTCTAGATCATCGGCGTTTTTTCACGGCGCTAGCTCTCGAGTAGCAGTGGGGAAAATCTAGAAAATACGGTTATGATGGGAGTTCCTATTTGTCCGCCATCCATAATTGGGTAGTCAAATTGCGGTAAGTGAAATTTCCTAGTGTCTTTTTTTTCCCTTTCCAACTTTTACTTTTTTTCTTCTTCCCCTTTTCTTTTTTCTGCCCTTGTCTTTTGCTTTTTCTAACTCCATTTCAGCCCTTTCGATAAATCTGCAGCTAAAAAACACCACCCCCTTGAAAGGATCTATATACTTGTATCTAGTGGGTTCACGGAGAGGCATTTGCCCCCCCCAAGTCATGGAGTCTGCTTCCGTCCAGAACCATAGCATTGGCGACATCCGATACTTCTCTATGATGACATGTGCCAATTGAAATTCTCGCAGATGAAACCGGTTTTTGGGGACCTCGTCTCAGGATCAACAAAACTCACTCACAGGATTACCCAAAGTTCTCGAGTTTAACCGCTGCCGTGCGCTTCTCGCGTTTATTCTGACGATGCCGACAACTCATCAATTATTCAGCGGTAGTCGTCCTGTCCCTTACTTGAACGATTTTTAGTATATGTATGGTACCTGGTTATCCCTTTTGGCCCCTCCATTGTTCCACTTCCCGACTCCTTACTATACTTTTACGACCTCCGATTTCCCACCTTGATATATCTTCCTGCTGGGGATATGGACGAACGGTGGCTCTCTAAATGCCTCGACGAGAACATGACGCGCGGGACTCACGAGAGAGAAGTTTACACCTGGGACAAATATATCATTAAGAAACGACTGTCTCGCGATGAGAATGGCCACAATGGATACGTGCCGATATATTCCGCCGTCCAACAACGAGACGAGAACGAGATTCTAGCCCTGGAGCTCGTGAAAAAGTACACCTCTGTACCTATTCCGGAAGTGGTCCATTCTGGAAATGGGTGCGTCTATGTTCCGAGTCAGAAGATAACCTCCACAAGAGCAATGGCTAACATAAAATTTCCATTTCTAGATTCACCGTTTTCCAGCGGTTCCCGGGGGTGACCGTGGACGACAAAGAAACCTGGGAAAAGGTTACCCCGAAGCAACGGGAAGCAATAAAGCTTCAGGTACAAGGCTACATCAAGGAACTTATCAAAATCCCTCACCCAAGCTTCGGAGTCCGAAGCCTCGTGTCGAACGGGAAACTTATGCACAATCAATTACCCAACCCCGGCCCGTTCCCATCCACGAAAGCTTTTCTAGAAGCTTACAACGGAGAAGACGTCTTTTTTGGATATCTGATCCAGCAAATAGACCCAGACAGCACTCCGGTGTTTTCACATTTCGACTGGGCTCTCTCAAACATAGTCTTGTGCCCGAACATGGACGCTGTCAGGGGAGTGATCGATTGGGAGCGAGCGTGCTTCTTTCCTGAGGCCGGGCGGTGTGTTCACCAGATGTGCTACAAGCTACCTGGCTGGGGGACGCTGTTTGATGGTATGGAGTTTCCAAAAGACGTAGGTGGCGGAGACGGCCGAGAAGGTACGGCCGAGTGATGGATAAAGCAACGGTACCTGTTGATGTTCGAAGGCGGGATTTAGGATTGCCTCTTCTGTTTTGCTTTTTTTTTTTTTTTTTACCTTGGTAAAAACTTTTTTCCTTGTTCCAATGGTTTTCGAGACGTTAAGCGGGACTTAAGCGGGGGGAAAGAGCGGGGTGGAAAGCATATTTTTAGGTTAGGATAGAATGATTTTCACGGATTACCGTAATGGGTGAAACGCCCAGCAATCCACCTCATCGCGATCGTCTGGATGAACTTCATCCTTCACCGGTGACATCTGTGCGTCAGCACATTCTAGCCTCTCATGGACTGGAAGGGAAAGAAAGCACGAGTAGGCAATCCGCCGTATATGAGATGACATGACCGAGTACCCATGTGTACTGTACATGCAATATCATACTTGGTTCCACAAAGCACTTGTACATTGAAACATCGCGGGCACTCCATTACATAAAACGAATACCCTCCGTTCGAGTTTATTTTTCATTTTTATTCTCCCGAGGTCCGGGACTAGGATTCTATTGGTTGCGTTCCCCGAGGAACCCGACTTTAGCCAAAATTTCCGAGTAAGGAGTGGAGGGGGGGGGGGGGGAGGATGAGAGGAAGAAAAAGAAAGAATCCTGTCCCGACCATCGTTAGCAGCGAAAAACGAGCGAGTGATATCTTGAGTACCTTATTCCTCCCAACTCCCCTCGCGCAAGCGTTTGCCCCCCTTTTTTTTTTTCGGGCAGAGAACGAAAATTTGCTTTCTCACGTGGCCCGTGTGCGTGCATTTGCGTTACGTTACAACAGGAAAGGGCATTTTCAACGTGCGCCGTCTACCGTGGCCGGTAGAAACGTGACATGGCCGGCCGATACTCGAGTGCAGTACTGCACAGTAAACATGCCGGTCAGATTCTCAATAAATCCTGCAATCTACCGGGAGGCAGTGTTCCGGGAATCAATGGCAGAAAGAGCGTTGGGTCTGGCAAGGCTCCAGCGTGGAAAGGGGGAGCCAGGAGTGGGCAAGGTATAATTGCTCGGGTGTGGGTGGCCCCCCATACAGTGACAAACTCTCTTTGTCGATGGCGGCGGCGGCGGAGAAAAAAATAATTCAACCGCTAGTTGGTTAGGTTAGTTCATAAATAATCACTCGGTTTAGCGCAAGGCTGTGAGAAGGGGTCACGTAGATAGCTATGCTTGGCTTTGTCCCCCCCGCCATGTGATGAATGTCACCTGTCTACGCGGCGGTGAGGGGGTTAAGCGTGTGCGATGACTACCGGTACTGTACCCCACGTTTTGTGGTTGCTCGCGGGTGTCACGTCCACTCTTGTACGAGCACGGTACTCGAGTACAGTACTCACACCCTCCTTTATGTCTCATAAGCCACTGGCTCGCCCTAGTGGAGGCCCACATGGCAGTTATTTCATACTGCAGCCCTTGGGAAGGAATATGCCGAGATGCTTCGGAGCTTTCTGCTTATTTCTACCCTACGTCATATCGAGGCCTTTATGATTTTACGATACCCCGCAGGGCAAGCCCCTCCCTTGGGAGGGGCTGACTAATAGGGATGTTTTGATTAAGGTTTGAAGCGCACAACTTCACCACCTTGAAAAAACTCTCAAAACTTCATTCGTTGCTTGTGAAGCCCGATATCGAGGCAAGTGCCCTACCAGAACCAAGGGCTTTCTGTGACCCAAGCGATCCACTGGGTAGATCCCCCACATTTTGCACCTCATCCCGCTTGCAAAGCCCGGAAAACGGCACAGACGTGTTACCATGATAATAGCGGCTTGGTGGCCGCAGCACGGAGCCGCCAAACATAGACTAGTGAGGGCGAGAGATCAGACACGACTCGCAATGTCGGAAGATTCAGGATAAAGGCACGAGTGCAGTGCAGGAGTGGTGGAAGTTCCCTAGTTATCCGGATGGGAAAGAGGGGTATCCCGAGGCCTCTCAACCATCCAATTATAATCATATTATATTGATAGACGGCAGGTGCGGTCATAACCAGAAGGTGGCATTGTTTGGTTTAGATTGGTAGATCATCGAGATAGATGGTTGCTGGCGCATTTGGGCCCAGATGGATATGTCGTCCTCTATAGTTTGCAGATATAGCTTCAACTTGGGAGACAGTACAGCGCTCGTACTAGATAATGGGGAACCTACCGCTGTGTACGAGCCAAGTACACTGAAAAGAAGTGTAATAGACCTAGAAAACGCGTGAAATATTCTTGAAGTGCTCCGAACGGACAACACAACGGATTTAATTTGAGGTCTAGCTTGTAGTTCAGTCGCTGCGCGGGAGTGTGGGATACTTGGCCATATCAAAGTGGTGGGTGGATGGAATCCAACTCTATGGGCCAGCGCCCGAGGCCAAGGAAATGGTCAGAGTCACGGATCCCTATTGCGCATAGATTGAACCCGGGAGAGCTTCGTTAAAAAATTATATTAATATCCAAGTTAACTTCCGGGAGTGGAAAATTGTGCAACAGGAATCAAACCGCCCAACATCCCCAACTGGCTCGCTCTCATTCCAGTCATCGGTAAGCTAGGTCATATGATTTCCGTCGGTGTCATCAAAAAACCCGCTTGGCCAAGCAGTCATCCTTTTCGGGTAATAAGCTACTTCACCTCTAATATGTTATACTCGAGTAGTGGTCAGCTCAGAGTTTACCCCATTCTGGTCCGCGAGTAGGGCTTTTTGCTCGTGTCCTTTTTCTCTGTTGAGAACATCTTTTCTCTCTCTACGTAATCTCTTTTCCGCTCCTTGGCAATTAGAAAAGTTTTCCTTCCCCAAATCCTGCTTACAACGCCAACCAGTTCCTCGCTAGAACTGTCAACAATGACCTTTATACCCATTTGCTCTCCAACCCTGTCAGCAACTTTCTAGGCAGCTCTATTCTCAGCACAAAATCCTATAATCAGTTGATCTCTTTTCCTAAGGTTGGGGCAAGCAACTTGGCTATTGGGAGAGGTAGAAAATTGTCTTGCCATACCCCGTGGGAAAATGGTGTACAGTACGGCACTTACCGTAGCCATTGGAATACCCCCCTGACTAAATGAGCTACTCGAGTACTTGGTGACTGGGATAGATCACAGTCTACACAGCCCTACAGTAACATAACCACTTCTGATGGAATTAGGCAACTTAGACTGCGGGCCTCCAGTCCTCCCGCTATATCCATATACCTAATCAGCTCACTTGTCCCGCTCTCCACCATTCCCGTCCACAATCCCTTAGCTTATTTGCCGTTCCAAACATAGAGAAAATATAGAGGGCGAAAGCCTTCCCTGGCCATTGTTCCTCATTCCGTGGGATATTAAAAGATAGAGATATATGCCCCCCTCGTCTGCTGACCCTGGGGGATGAATGGGCTAAAAAATGGGGGTTTTTTTTTTCCAAACAATGCTCGCGTCTTGGTGTATGCGAGAATCACGGGAGTTGATATTAATTAGATAAGGCCAGGGGTTTCCCGAGCACCTGTACGAGGACAAGTAGCGAGAACCATAGATCAGCGTGAAACCCCGCAGACCGATGAACCCATGGAGCATGAGGCGGTACGGACAAGTGACAAGGGAAACGGAAGCCATTTCTACACCATATAGAGTGGGTTGTTCATCAAACGCTAGGAGAACTATGCCTAACCTGGCTTCAGAACTGAGAAAGTGTGGATACAGTTTCTAAGACATCGTGGAATCCGATTCTTCCAATGGGTGGACTTGACCCTACCCAGGCCCAACAAAATGCTGACCCGACACAAACCCAACAAAATTTTGACCCCACCCTAACCCAACAAAATTTTGGCAGGACCCAAGACAGCGCGGCCCAAGGATTCATAACTCGGGTCAACCCAATGAGCCTGCTGGGCGAGCCATTATGGGAAAAGAAAAGAGAAGAGCAAAGCGGAAAGGGGGGAGGTAGATAAGGTCAAGGGCCTATAGGACATAGAAATTAGCTCAAGCCTATTATGCCGCGCCACCTACAACTAATACCGAATAGTGTAGAAATCCGTGATGGGAACCGCTCAGAGTTTTCAGGACAGAGGGAGGACTCCCCACTATCAGAAGAAAAACTCATAGCTGTGGCTACTTGCTTCGATACGGGAAGGGGTGGTGATGAAGTATCAACCTGTACCTCCCAGTGGACTCGGAGCAAGGAGGGCTATTTTGGATGCATACATCCAACCTGAGGAAAATACGTAACAAGGGATGCCCCCAAGGGCAGCTATGCTTGGGGGATTAGAGTCTGGCATAAATTATCTGGACCTTTGAAGCCCATGAGAATGGAACCCAATTCCCTGAACGAGATTATCACAAGTCATGGCTATCGTGTTGTGGTACCCTTATGTATGGACTTATAAATTTAAAGCTATTTGACGGCTTTCGCCCTTACATCTACAGTATAATCTCGAACCCTCTCAACATTCCGTCATACCCATTGCCAAACCTGTTTTTTTTTTCCATCGGACTTAACAGCTCTAATTGTCCCTTCCCATAAGAGATCCCATCGTCAACCCTAGCGGGTTCTCAATATTTATAATTTCTCTCCACTGAGGATGTATCTGCTCTCCTGATATATTCAACATTTAATAATATAGTATCGCTATTCTAAACCTCGGGCGAAAAAGATCAAGATCCACCTGCCAGCAGGGCAGGTATCCGTCCCCACGATAACTTCACATGAAAGTAACTACAAAATATTTATTGCACATGAAACGCTTAGCTGGCGTAGTGGTTAAGATGTTCGAGAACCAATCAAGCCCTGTGCAATAAGCGGGGCCCAGGAGTTCAATCCCCCCCTATAATGAGTTATTATCGAACGATCCGTCGCATGAGTAGACTGAGGGAAACAGCAAATCTTACACCGGGGGGACTGGGAGATCGAAGACTTAGCTTTACTCAATAAGGCCGTAGGGAAAATCGGTCCTGCCATTGGGTGGCAGAATCCCACTCCAGACAATATACCTGGGGGCGAGGTCCGCGATCGGCGGGGTAGCAGAAAATAAAAACGAGGGCCTATTGGGCACGTGCCGATGAAAATTTGTCGCAGCAAAAGCTGAAAATAGTATACATTATAGGGAGGGTCATTGCGGCGCCTTTGGGGGTATTCCCATTCCGTGATCACTGCGATAAGGGTCAAAACATGCTGGAAATATCCCTAGCCCCCACAACTTCAGGGAGAAATATGGGATAAAACTTGATTTTTCTGCATTTTATGCAAAACCTGCGAATACTCCAACTACTAAAACATGATTTATTTGTCTGCTATTATAATATATATAAATTTTTATCATACCCAGAAAGATACCAAATAAAGGGCCATGAAATAACTATGCGAACAGAACCTTAAGCAGATATTATTAAAAGCGACCCAGAAACTGAAATGATCCCCGCCGAAACAAAGCGAAACAGAGGGGATAGAATGACCTTGCGAGTAGAATACCGGCAAGGAATATTTTTAACAGCTTAGCGTCCGTACAAAAGACCGGATGATTATTTTACCAAGTTTATATCCTTACTATTCAGGTTACCGTGATATTTCACCTTAAGGGGGTACCGCTTTTAGTTCAGACTATCGTGACTCCAAAGCTCCCTACGGTTCTATCCGGTAGGGTTATTTTGTCCATAGGGCTCACCGAGCGAATTCATGACAAGTTAATGGTTATAACAATACTCCTAATCCATTCGATTCACGCTCCGCTAGATTGTACCCAATCTCCAGGGATGTTTACCGTAAATTCTTCCAAAATAATGTGAGATATATCCTCCGCTAGGTGAATCTTAGAGTCTGGAATCGATGTAAATTTACTATTCGATTATCAAGGCACTGAGGGGAAAAGGAGGGGAGGGGGAACAGTGAGGACTCATTTCCCCGCCTGGATATGTCCACTCACAGGCTATGGAAGTCACTCGACATCACCCAAGATTTTTTTGAGTTCACCGCTAACGACATTTCACCAAACAAGCCATTCTGTCCCCGCGTCCTTGGTCTGGGAGGGAATACTATCAATCCCCGATATCGTAACAAGAACGAAGAGCTGTTTCGCCTTTGATTTGAAATAAGCAACTGCAGAATATAATCACGAGCGTTACACAGACTCGCTTGTACGAAAATGACTGAATTAATTTGTGAGAGTGGCCATTCATCCCCAAACCTCACTTCTGCCACTGACCGTCTTGCAAGCTCATAGAATTTTCTCGAGAAATTCAGATGTGAATAGTTACCGGTTACTATCAGCCAAAGACACAAGATCCGTCCAATACCACAACATCTCCGGCTAAGCTCGAGGCTCTACAAAAAACAACCCGAGAATTTCATTCTTCGAACCAGGGCAAGAGGGTTGGGGCTGGGTGATGCTTGGAGGGGAGGGGTTGCTAGGACACAATGCTTTTCAAATGGTACTTGTAACTTTCGGGGCCCCTTCACACCGCATTCGCAATTCGTAAAAAGGGACCCATGATATCGGAAAGCGTCAGTCGCCACCCAGTCACTCAATAGGGACAGGTAATCAATTATCTAAGAGATCACTCGTGTCAGTCCCGGGGTAATCACCTTATATAGTGGAAGCCGAAATCATATGACGGAGTCTAGGATAATGACTTGAGTTCCATTCCCGAGGCCCGATAGATGCCGGTGTCCACCCTGGTTGGCGATTGGACGAGAAATTGGCATCCGAGCACGGAGTGGAACAGCTTTCGGCTCTCACTCTGCGGACACCGCAGGCATTCGGAAGGCTTACGAGGGCAGCGGTGGTAGGGGTGGCGGGGAGGTGAGACAGGTTGCGGAGGCGCGGTCTGGTAGCCCCCGGCCTGTTTTGGCGTTTTGTATTGAGTAGGCTGGAAAGAGACGTTAAAATACCACCTTACTCAATTAACTAGTCTTCTTTGCATAAGTTATATTCCGTTTTTGGTATGAGACGGGTATATTGCTTATTCCAGGCCAGTTTAGAATATTTGTCAATATGCGGGGGAGATTTCCCTTGCTTTTAGTTTTTCGGGAGAGGCTTGAAGAAATACATACTTTAGGTCACCAATAATGCCTTCTTCAGAATTACACTTCTATTATCTCAATGGATTAAAAGACAGACTTTGTCAAGGGGTACAGTATAAAGTCAGAGGTAAGATATTACACAAGACAGATCTTAAAATGAGGCAAGTGCTATGTATAGGATAGAGAGACTCCGGGAGGTATCATATCCAAAAGGGAAAGAGCGAAATGCCAACTCCGGTGAACCAAGTGCCCAAAACTAGCAGTATATTTTGAGGGCCGGTTTTCCGGTCTTTCTTGTGATATATAGTATTTCTATTGCCGAGGTTACTAATTTACGTTTCCAAGCAGGGCAGGTGGTCTTTTTCATTCAAAAAGGCAAATTCGTGTCTCGTTTCCAACACCATACTCCCCTTCCTTCAGTATCCAGAGGTTTTACTACCAGCAATTGAAACTATGGGCAAATTTTCCCCAAAGACGAAATCTTTAAGTTCACCGGAAATAGGGCAAAATTGGTGAATGTTTTTGCTCGTCGAAAAATTAGGGCCCTTGAGTCGTACGATAGCCCCTCTACTATATGCGGAGATGGTACCCTGGAGTACAGTCCCAATAGTCAATAAACGGTTTTCAAACCTAAAGCACAGGCCATCCTGCATCACTGTTTTTTGATTCATTTCCGGGTGACATCCCGTGACTGGGCACACGGCAATCCAAACTTTGTGTTACCCTCCCCAAACTTAAACCCAACAGCGGTACACCCCCCCCCGCCTTGAGCCCCACCACCACCATGTCTGAAGAAACTCAACGACAAGTCTTCAAAGAGGTACCCATTCACTCCCCAATAGCTCCCAACATCTCACCGATATTCATCAAACTAACAAAACACCTAGCTAAAACCCCACTGCATAAAAGTCAGCGAAACAATCCTAAAACCAACTCCCGATCCCAGAGGACTATCCGCATCTCTAACCCAGCTCCTTCAAACACTAACCAGTGCCTCCGGACGCCATGGCGAAGTCTTCAACCGCCCGCTAGGGGACTACGTCTTCTATCCCCTCTCACATATATTCCGGCAGCACCAAACCGTGAACGACGGTGCGTTGGAGAAGGCTCTGGGATGCGTGCTTATTCTGCTAAACACCTGCTGGCGATTGGACATGCCGGCGGAGCAAGCGAAGCAGATGCTCATCATGATCACCTTTGTGATAGCGGGCACACCCGGAGTTCCGGTCAATGCGAATAGAAGCGAAGAGACGAAGATTGAGGGCATGAAGTGCTTACTGGCGCTGTTCGAATGCGTGAAGAGGGCCGAGAAGGGGGTTTTGGGGGACGTCGAGTCATTACCGGCGCTGGGCCATAGTGTCACCGCCGTTCTTGAGGTCACCATTTCCACGTCTTCTCCACAGTTGCAGATGGTTTCTTTGGAGGTTCTAGAGGCTCTTTTGTTCTCCTGCGTCACTGATTCGGATATCTTCGCTAGCTTTTATCCCGGCGTGGTCAGTGGGCTGGTGAAGGTCATTGGCCTAGGGCCTACCACAAAACGCCCATACGAGATCCTCGCTCGCTCCGTCAAGGCGCTGAACCGCGTGATCTGTAAAGTCCTCGGAGATGCGGACACAGCGAGCCTCCCCACCGAAGAAGAAAACGATGGGAAGGGGAGGGGGAAGGGGAAGAGCAATGGCCTGGAGGTGCACCGAACAACCTCCTGGCTCGCTGCCACCGCGACGCAAACCAAATCTGCGCTCGACAACACCCTCCGCCTCCGCGGCCACCCGCACAGTCATGTTCGCAAAGCCGTCTTCGAGTTATGTCGGGACCTGCTCGAGAACTGCGCAAAGTCTCTCGCTGAAGCCCTCACGGCGATCATCGAAACGATGATTGTCCTCGCCGGGGACGAAGATGACAATCTCCGGAGTATTTCTGAAAATACACTGCGTGTCGCGGCGATGAGTGAGAATGTCAAGGAGGCGATACAAAGCTGTGCTCACGGCTGGGCAATCTCCTTACCAAGGGTCATGGCTGGAAATGAAGAAATTATGAAGACCAGACTTATCAGTCGAATTTCCACTGGCTTCAAGATTTTAACGGAGTTGGGCATGGACAGCGAGATACTGCAGGAGACATTGGCGACCAATATCCGGGATAGCCTCTTCACGGCTTACATAGGGGCTCCTGGGAAGCAGGAGGCTGTCCAAGCAGTGGAGGAGCCGTTGCCGTTTGACGCGCTGGTTTCGCAGAATCAGGATATCGGAACGCTTGCTGGCTCAGCACAGTACCCGGACGTGGTTCTTGGGCACAGAAGTCAACGGGATACAGTCGGCAGCGTGAAGAAGCTTTTGGGTTTGTTAGGATGTACTTCCGAAAACGCGCTACGGCTTGCGCAGCGGCATATTCGGGAGAGTTCGAGAATAAATGCTCCTACCAAGGATAGGTCTACATCTTTATGGGTCGCCGTGCAATTACTCCGAGGATCACTAGCAAATTCCGACGAAATGGACATATTCCTTGACCTAGACTTTTCCCCATCAGGCCCACTACAACAACACGTCATGGAGGAATTATTCGCAGTGTCATTATCCATCCTCAATGACGCTACAGAACTAGGCACGGACGAAAGTGTAGATCCCATATCACCAACACTCCAGTGTCTCGCCCTCGAGGCAATCTCCCTCACAGCGCAAGCGCAGAAAGAATCCTTCAGGGAAGATCTGGTGGATGCTTTATACCCTATAGTCCACCTCCTGGGCTCCCCTTCAGGAGCAGTTCAATCCCACGCAATACTTACACTAAACAACGTCTCTCGCTCATGCGGGTACCCATCTGCCAAGGAACTCGTTCTAGAGAACGTTGACTATATGGTCAATGCCGTGGCGCTAAAGCTGAACACATTCGACTTATCCCCCCAAGCACCTGTAGTCCTCGGGATGATGCTAAGACTTGCAGGGCCAAGCTTGATACCCTACCTCGATGACATGGTCGTCAGCATCTTTGCTGCGCTGGACGCCTTCCACGGATATGAAGCACTCTGCGAGGCACTCCTTGGTGTCCTCGCTCAAGTCGTAGAAGAGAGTGGGAAAGGCGGTGAATTACTTGCCGTCACAACAAACGCCGGCGGTTCCTCCTCACCCTCGCCGCAGGAAAAGCGAAGGAAACTACTAACGAATGAAGATTTAATCCAAGAGATCAAATCCAACCTCCGCAGGGAGCAAGAACAGCAAAAGAAAGCAGAGCAGGAAGAGGCAGACATGACTGCCGGCAAATTCCCGGAAAAGCCTTGGGGTAAGGGAGAAGAAAAAGGCAAAAACGAGAGCCCCACCACGGACGAGGACGAGGACGAGGACGAGGGCGACGAAGACCAACCCCGACCACCTCCGCCAGAAAGCCAAGTAGTAAAGCCCACAAAAACCTACGACCTAGTCCAAAGGATCACCCGCCTGAGCCAACACTACCTGACACACCCCTCCTACCCCCTCCGTCTAAAGCTCCTCCGCCTAATATCCACCGCGTCCCCACTACTCTCCAAGAACGAAGACGCATTCCTCCCGCTGGTGAACGACATCTGGCCCGCTGTGCTGAACCGCCTCTTTGAAGACGAACCGCACGTTACAATATCCGCGGCGGAGGCTATAACCACGCTCTCGCGGGAGTGCGGGGGGTTCATCTCTAGTAGGATTGCGGACGCGTGGCCGGGGATTAAGCGAGTTCTCGTCAATTGCTTGAGGAAGTGGGAGAGGGAGAGGGCGAGCAAGACCGGGAATATGGGGGTCCATAGTCCCGGCTATAAAGTCTGGGATTCGCTTTGCAGGATGGTAGCTGCCGTTGTAGAGTTTTGCATAGTCAGCGACGAAATCGTCGATGATATTTGTAAGATCCTTGGTGGGGAGAGGCTATCGCAGAGGGCAGATCTGAGGAATGCGCTTGAAGGGGCTAACGCTGAAGCCGTCTGGCTGGAGATTGAGAGTTGGAAGGAAAGGGGTGGAGCTAGTGGAAGGTGGACCTTACCAGCTCTCGAGGGGGTCAGGTTTTATGAGGTTGTTTTTTAAAAAGGCCCTCTACCGGATTTTACATCCGCCCGCCACAACTGCTATCGCAGGCGCTCTTTGTTTTTACCATGGAGGCTTAGACATGGTACAGATATTGTAAATTAATGCTCTCCTTACACTGGTACCACGGGCCCAAGCACCGGAAGGCTAATAAAAATGCTTGGCGATTTTCGAGTGACAATATATGAACAAGTTTGCTCGATTCTAGTCCAAGAGAAAATTTTAATGATACTCCCAAATATCCTCGTGGAAGCCAGTGGGTCTGCTCCAGGCCCATCTCCTCACTTTTGTCGCACTCTCCGGCATGCGTACCCATCGTCGTCAGCAATATACCTTGATTACGCCTCGTCACCAAAAAAACCCAAGGTTCGTTAGAAACCCTCCTCTCGCCTTTCCCTCAACCATCCCCCAAAGCGATTCGCCACCTCCGCCTCTATGTTCCCCCATCTCTCCTCTCTTTGAAGCCCCTCTTACCGCTCTCTCTCTAAACCTACTGCTTGATACTTTCACAACCCTCTACTCTGACCGAAATCCTCCCCTCCCCCCCCAAAAAAACCGCCAACAATCATTACCATGGGAGATGACAAAACCTCCCGGGCCTCAAACAACGATCAGGAACCTTCCACCCCTACGAAGCTAGACCCTACACCAAAAAACCCTTCGAGACTTATTGTGTCAACCCCATTCGAGAATATATCATCGAGAGGCCCGACCAAGGAACCCTTTCCCTCACCCTCATCCCCACTGCTATCCAAAACCTCACAGCCAAAAATGCCGACGACCAACACACCTAATCCCCAGGCTTTCGAGACCCAATCAGCTAGGGCTTCAAACGAAGCCGTCTCGGGAACCTCTCTAGCTGCAAATTCTGGGCAGGGAAGAACCCCGACAGAAGGACTATCCATAAAACCCAGAACCAGATCTGCCACTGCTAGGACCAGAGAGAAGACGGATCTGGTTAGGAGTTCGTTACAAGAACCCGCCCAGGTAACCCAAAATCCCCGGTACCCAATAAGACACAGGACCCGCCAGAGCGCCCCCGCGGGCCACTCACCTACAGTGGGCTCAAATAGCAGCCCCTCTTTGAAAAACATTTCGCCCACCCGACGCCGCCAAAAGCTAATTGTGCGGGCAAAAAGGGCGAATGGCGAAGGCGGCGAACCCCCAGAAGCAGAAGACACCAGGTCAGTAAATGGTGGAAAAGAAGGGGAGGAAACGACCAAAGCTCCGGAAAGCAGAAGCGATGCTGAAGAGCCTGAAAAATTCTTTTTCACAATGAAGGGACCTCATGAGCCGGGACTTAAACACCTTGCGGCAGCTATAGATCCACCCCCACAAGCCAAGGATTCCTACAACCAACCCGTTTGTCCGCTTGTCGAGGATGAAGCCAACCTATCAGACAGAACCGTTAGGCCCGAGAAGAGAAAAAGCCCTGAGAACGATATAACAAGCCAGCCGAGAAGACTACCCGATGAAAATATTACATCTACCCTAGCGTCTCCACCTCTCCCGCCTACCCAAAGCGCTACGGATCACGGCACCCCCCGGGGGGAAGGATCCAATGTGGATGCATCAGGTAGAACCAACGGATACGATGCAGCAAATATACATCCCATAATCGAAGCACTGGCTTCGCCACAGCCAGTTCAAGCACATTATGCGAGCGACCATCCTGAGATGAACACTCCCGAGCAATTGCTTCTCAATCTCTCACAAAACCCAAGCCCAGCCACGATAGACCCCCAGCTAAGAGCTATCCCGGTTCATCAAGGCCAGCGGTACCACTATTACGCCGAAATTCAATACACAGTTTATATCTGGGGTTCCGGCCCATGGCCTCCTAGCCCAACTACCCGCTGGAACCGCTTCAACGTCACCTCATCCTCTCCTGTTACACTTCTCTTCGAATACATAGGAAGAAGCAGACCAGATACCGGACTCGTGGAGATAGGAGGGGGCCTGATTGCTCACTATCTAGGCGATGTGAGGAGGTATGGAACTCGAATGGACCAGACGGGATGGCCTACGACACTCTGCCTCCGGCCATGTGAAAGATTGCCCCTCGGTTTTTCTCGCTGGGGCGATTTTATGAGGAGCTCCGGGATGAGAATCTATTAGCTTTGCAGCTTCCTGAGATTGTACTTGTAGCTACGAGATCTGGCAAAATGTTTCCTCAAATTTTCTGCTCCAGCGTCGAAGGGGGTGGGTTGGAGTTTGCTTGTTAAGGTGAGAAATAATTACACACACATTCTGATGCAGTTCTAACAGATTACCAGCTTTTACGATTTTAGCTGATGGTTGGCATCATCACCCATTGGGGAGTAGGGCACTGATGGGGTAGTAGTGGAGGAAGCTCTAGCCGTGGTGGTTTGACACGATAGCGACCCAAGTTCTGATTGCAGAGATACTATGATCACTTTTCTTCCCCAATAGGATAAAAAAAATTACTGTATTCTCCCCTCACTTCTCCCTTGCCCTCTCTTCTTTTCAATTGGGGCGAAGCTAGAAACGAGGTTTGCTTGCTTGACGACGTTGTTTTCTCGGTTCCGACCATTCTCTCTTTCCTTGCTTTTTTCTCCCCTTTCCCTCCCTTCTTTTCCTGCTTCACTCCCTTCCTATTCCCTTACGAAATCAGACCCTCACCTCATTAGCTAGAAAAAAGAACAAGCACAAACCCGCACAGTCCCACTAAAAGACTTCTGTCGCAGCGAGCTGTCATGCCGCCCAACTTGAGTGCGGGGAGAGTTAGCTCAAGACACCTTAAGTTAGATCGCTATCCAAATACACACAATCGAAAACTACAGATGAACCAATCATTAATTGTGAGTCTTTGAAGACAAACCTAATGTGACCGGTATGATACTCCGCCGAGGGTTGATTGGTGTTGCGCTCTACGAACAGTGTGATATAACCAGGAATGATCACTAGCCCGTAGAATGGCCATGCGCTCAAGCTATGCCATGCATTACCGCCCGCAGCAAGGCAGGCAAACTGGGATTCTGGATCACAGGGTAGACGGCGTCGGCAGGGGTAAGTCAAGATAGGGAGGAATGTGGAGAATGAATGTGCTGATAAGATATGGTGATGCGGGAGATTAGTAAACTACTGATTGGTTTACTCGGCGGATGATACAAGTACAAGTACCAATAGTTGGGGGGAGTGTGGCAACCCGCATCCAAAGACCACTACCGGTACTGTACAGGTACAGTACAGTACTCGAGCCCTGTACTCGTACAGGTAGAGGCGGGAGTACCGGTAGACTACTCGTACTGTATTCATACAGCGCGTCCCCACGCTACCCGGTTCAAGGATGGGTTACGATATTATACTCATGATGCTCGGGCGATATACCAGTACCGGTGAATACCGCACCGGTAGTCCACTCTAAGGGTACGAGTACAGTACTCGAGTAACCGAAGCCCCAAATTTACGCACGCATCATGGAAGGGACCCAACATAGGTATCGCGAGCATCATAAGAATCAGGAAATGCAAACTCATTCGCGCATGCTTAAACTCACGGATAACCATATCATACATGACCTTCCGAGCCCAAGCCAAATCTACCCTCCGCCCTCTCTCCCCCAATCCTAAGGAGCAATCGATAGTCCGCCCGTCGGTGCGCTACCGAACAGCCAGGCGTATCGATGTATCAGACTTGTATCATACAAGCCCCGGGATTAAGCTAACATCCTTACCCGCGTAATTGCCGAAATCGGTCTTTCCTACTGCACATCCCCGCCGGCGGGAGGGTTCTGGTTGGTAAAGGTTATACGGGGGTGCCGTATCGGGGGATATACTATTGGCGACACTCGAACTGTACCGTGCTCGAGTACAGTACGCGCTTGGTTGTGCATCACATGTGAGACCTACAGTATACTTTGGGGAGGGTGCGCATTCGTTTTTTTTCCCATCAGGATAAGCCATGGTCTATGATAGGGAGAGGGTAATATCGGTCACACTCCGTTTCCGGTCATATTGGGGCATGAAATATGATATATATCCGAACGGTTTCTTCAATGCTCCGAATCAAGCATTTTTTTTGATCAGAAAAAAAAAATACCGAGCCCCAGACAGCATTTATTTATTTTAAAACAGAAGAAAGGAGTAGTAGAAAAGGAATAAGAGAGACATAAGGAAACAATCACGACGCAAATCCAACAATTCAGTCAGTATTAATGATGGTCTTGAAAGTCTCGCTCTGTCCTGGTCGCTCCTTGACCTTCTCCTGCTTGACACAGCCCAACTTCTGCTCCGAAAAGGCTTTGGCGTATGGGTTGAGTCTGAGAAGTACTTGTCTGTTTCTAAGAGGGTTCTTCTTGAGGACGCCGGCCTTTCCTCCCTTCTTCTGTCTCGGTCCTCCTTTGGCGGGCCTGACGACGGCTTGGACTTCGGCAGAGTTGATGAGGCGGCCGATGTCGGCATTGGAGACAATGTTTGAGGGGAGAAGGTAGTCCCTCTTCAATTCTGAGGGCGCTACAGTGGTGCCATAAACGGTATTGAGAGCGTTGAAGGCAGACTCGGTCCAGACAACGAAACGCCCGAGATGGCCGCCAGGAGCAAGCTGGAGGAGGTTGAGAGAGGTTACTGAGGCGGTCTCGACGCCAGGGATATTGCGAAACGACTTGACAACAGATTGGGCGTTCTCGTCCGCGGGGTTGATGATGACGAGGGGTCCGCGGCGCTGGCGGTGACGGCGGCCTCTCAACTTGCCCTTACCAGCACGAATCTTGCGTGACTTGGAGGCCTTGATGACATCCTGGTAAGCACCGACAGACTTGAGGAGCTCGACGGCAGTACGGGTCTTGTTCATTGTTGAGAAAGCAGAGTCGGCGATAACCAAAGGAAGCTCGGGCACGGTAGAAATACGGTGACCACGGGCCTGGACAAGAGGAGCAGTGGCGGAAGCAGCCAAGGCGGAGGCGGTAGCGAAACGCTTCTGTCCAAGGTTGATCTTGACGTGCCATCTGCGCCAGACCTTTGTAGGAGCGAACATACGGCCCGAACGGCACTGATTACCGAAAGCTGCTTGACCAGCACGGTGGGTACCACCACCAGAGACACGGGGAATACGGGCAACAGCGCGACCTATAACCCCATATTGTTAACCCACATTCATTTGGCCCACGCAGAGGATAGGCCAGATTCAGAATGAATCTGAATCTGCACGATAAAAGCCCATCCCACCATCAACCCGACCCCACACATTTCTCAATAAATCCATCAGGATAACTAACCTGTTCCCCAAGATTCAGCAGAAGTTTGATGACCGGCCTTCTCGCTCACGGCATACGGCTGCCTCTTGTTCTTGGCCATACCGGTGTGAACCTTCTGGACGATATCGGGACGAATGGGTGCCTTGAAAACGCTGGGAAGAGTAGCGGTGCTTCCGCAAGGAGCGCCATCGGCTCCGTGGATGGTGACAGTGGGTCGGGTCGTCTATTCAACCGATCTGTTAGCAGCCAATTTCCCGTGACCTTTAAATCTCGAAAATTCTGCCAAATCCTTTCCAGAGCTCAGACGCTCCCAGAACAGCAATTCGAAAACCTGAAATAAGCCAAACAGGAAGCCAATTTTCCAACTTACCATTTTATCGTGATGTGTCGTTAGTCAGTCGGTGGTCGCTTGGTGATGGTGCCGGTAGTGGGGGTTGGTTATTCTCTAGGCTGCTAGACTGACAAATTCCACGATAGGGAATTTGTGGGCAATTGTGCGTTGTTGGACTGCTAGGGTTCTACCCTCCACGGGTGATGCACCATACCCGATCTTATCAGATGCCGATCAGTGTTACCCTCCCGACCGTATTTGTATGATACTCGTATCATACTCGAACGCAGGGCACTACTACCCCTGCAAACCCTATCCAACTTCTTCCCCGTTCATGCGATGAGAGCATTCACGAGTAACTTATGATAGTGCCGCACATCTGAAATCAGCCCTCTTGTTAATTTTTTTGGTGATCTTGAACAGGGATTTTTCCGCAACAGAAAAAATACTCTCATTCTTGGCACTTATTCCATCCTCTTCTCTAGCGGTAGTTGCGTGGTATATCTTGGCATTGATCATCATATGTCACTCGAATTGCTTGGTTGCCATTCTGGGCCTGTTCCTGGCTGCTCACTTCTTTTTTCCCTTATACAAATTTCTTCCCATCAGTACCTGGCTTCTCTCGGCATTTAATTGGAAAAATAAATTCCACATGACTTCTCCCATACTTCTTTGTCACATCTATGTGCCTGTTTTCTCAATTACGCCCCTGGTTGGTTGTTGCTGTTCTGATTGTCTTCTCGACTTTTCCAGCTGTTCCGAGGGCTGACGCTAAACGCCCGGCACCATACGATCAGGAGTGGAGTCCATTATGCGGATTCAGACGAACCGTGATACGAGCTCACGGACGTTCTTCCGAAGTTCCGCCCTAATCTCATGATACTTGTGAGACAATGTACTCGGGATCCACAACACAAATCAAATACGGTAATACAGCTCCGGATTTCCAAGTTACTGTGGTCGATATGGGTTACTGGTAGCTTCATGTTCGTAAGTTGGCGCCTGCACCGTACTGTGCTCCTGCTTGTCCTCTAGGTACAAGAGTTAGGCCTTAAAAAGTGGTGCCTCATATGCTACGCCCAGCTCGTCTGAAAACACACAAGCCTTCCATTGCTCAAAAAGAGCTTATAGAGAGGTTTTTTTTCTTTTCTTGATAAAATGTGTTGAGCCGGAGGCCATGCACCTGATCCATCAATCAGCGGTGCCTGGGGTACATTTATTCAAGGTTGGCCAAGGCAAGAGGAAATAGAAGTCCGCTCAGGGTCACTTTTCTAGGGTGTACCGCTGCTACCGAAATTCTGGTTATGCTCCCTGCCAATACCGTTACCGGCATCATACCTGTATGCCGGCCCTTGTATGGAGAAGGTCTTTCTCCTACGGTACCGTAGCATATAAATTAAGCCAATTTCCGGTATGTTACAGTATCAGGGTGGCTTCGATGCTTCGTCCTTGAACACGGGGATCACGAGTTGAGGAAATGTACTAGTGCAGTACAGCTGCTCACTTTCCTTTGGCCCACAGTGGCGAACGGCAGTCGATTGGCTTGTATCCTGAGGCTGGTGTTTGTTCGGATGGATGATAACATATATCTATGTGGGATTCTCGATGGAAGTTTGTTGGTTGGTTGCGTGGTGTGACGGTGGAAAAAATAAAGACTTCTCCCCTGCTGGACCTAACCTCACTGATAGGGACCGGGCCTCATTCCTTAACCTCCTTTCGGGCCCTGCTTTTATCCCACCTCCTGGCTCTAAAAGGTATAAATGGTAGTTTCTCCTCAAAATGAAATTTGGGAGACCCAGCGGCATATCTATATCGAGTAATCGATCGCGATTAGGCATAATAGGTTATGATTGAGCAACACCGCTTGCAGAGCAAATTGGTAGGATTTGTAGCACTCTGCTCGATCAAGCTATTATCGTGGGTCTCCATTGGGCAGGTCTGCTTTCTACAAGTGACTTTATTTTGTTAACGGGTGATATTCGGACTAGGGTGATAGCCTTGCCTATCACAGCAGTAAAAAAAGAGTGAAATTCGATACACCCAACGGCATACCTATATCCAGTGTTCATGATCACACATAATCGGGTATGATTGAGAAACACCACTCATCGAGTAAATTGATAAGATTTGTAGGATTCTGCTCCATCATGTTATCATCATGGGTCCCCAATTATCGCCGTTCTCCAGCATGATCTAGTCCTGTGGGACTCTGTCTTGAATACTGTACCCGTGTCTCCGGGCCAAGCCTTATCGTTAATCATATTACCAACCATGGTTTGCCGTTTTGCCAAACCGTCCCTTAGTTGCCAAGCATGTATCATTAATTACGAGTAGCACGGGGAATCTATATTAGGGCCAGGCTAGAGCTTGCACTGAGTTGTATAATAACGAGTGAAGGAGCAGCAAGGTTCATCATTAAAACAATACAATACTGTGTTGGCATTTCCCCCTCAACCCAAGAAGTAACGATAAGCCATTGGATCATAAAATCTGGGACATTACAAGTATGATATGTCAAGTATCATAGTGAGAACGGAAAATTGAGGAAAGCAGAAAAAACTTGTGCCATAACTAGCTCTTGGCTGGCTCCAGTTAGGGATCAATGTTCCTGTACTCGTTCAGGGGCAAAGGGTTGCGTTGCGCAGCGACCGAATCATTAGTATGATAGTTCAAATTTTAGTGGTTAGGGGAAGAACCGTCGCGGGATACAATGGAGGTATCATATTATCATGCTACCGGCTCCTTTCTCCACCAAATACATATTTGTTCCCACCACGGGCTGTTCAATGGCATTCTTATCCCAGAATATCTCAAATAGTGTTCCCAACTGCCTAGTCCATCCGTATTTGGGGCAGGACGGGACGAACTATAGCGGGTAGTCCGTCTTTTCGGCATTGCTAGGACAGACTACGCTCGGGACTGGTGGGACTGGACAGACTACCGGGGACTGCTGTCCTACTGTCTGAAATCCTATGAACCAAATGACCCCGTTAGCCACAAGGTTTCAACCCTTTCTGACATTGTTAGTGGTATTATGTTGTTCCCAGCAGTCCCCCCAGCAGTCCCCCCAGCAGTCTCCCCGGCAGTCCCCGGCAGTCCCCGGCAGTCCCCGACAGTCCCGCGCAGTCCGTGGTGGTCCCCCGCCGTCCCCCTTACCAACGCTGTTTTCACCCTGTAGGGCCCACCGTCCTACCAGTAGACGGCCGTCCTCCACTTTCACCGCCCCGGACGGACTACACGTAGCTGTCCCGTCCCGCCCAGGGCTCTTGACAGTCACCCCGCGGGGCCCTGTCGGCTTCCCTGACGGTTGGGAACACTGAACTCAAAGATTTGAACTATTGCGATGTTGAAGTGTTCCCAGGTCAACAGCCGCTCTCTCTTGTGGTCAATTCATGGGCCAAGAGCGGTGTAGGGAGCACAGGTGGTTGGTTCATTTGCACTGGACTGATTGAAGTTCCTGGCTTTAGCCACATCGACTCCTCCTGTGCCTTGGCTGCTGACCCCTCTCTGCTTTGTTGTCACTGTCTTTTGTACATTTGGCTTTTTTTGGCTATCGGAAATTAGTAGAACTGGGTGCTAAAAGAGCTCAAATGTGCTTTGAGTTCGGCATCGCGTATGTTGCTCAGGGCATGGTAGGAGAGTTGAGGTTGTTCAACTACAGTGTTGCACTCCTTCTGGAAAGGCATGGACCCAACTAGGGATTAGTGTGCCCCGGGATCACTTTTGACTGGCTCGGACCGTCCAAGGGATAGCTCGAGAGCAGGCCATAATAACATGGTTGCAATGTGCCGATTTTGCCTCTCAGATTTCACGTGACGGATATATCTAGCGGCGGCACTCGTAGTGTACGAATACAAGTACAACCACCATTCAAAGAGGTGGGGGCAGTAGCCCCAGCTGCTCCCCTGGAAAGCTCATCCACTTTATTCGAGGGGAAACATTTGAATAATTATTAATCTATTTTATTACCATTTTTTCGGCCCCACCCCCTTCACCCCCTTTCCAAGGCAGTCCAGAAACCCGTGGTATGCACGGGTTACGTCCGTCTCTTTCCCATCAAGGTAGGTTTCATCGAAACCTGATTTCTCCAGCGCTTTAACAAACTTAGAAAATAGGTTCGAAAACTTGCCGCGTCTGGTGCCGGAACGGGAACAGAAGATACCCGCATGGGTATTTAGGATGTGGATCGTTTTCTCGCTGCCCAGACAGGTTCGCCATGTTAGCCATTGAAACAAGCCAAATAGCCGGGATCCCCCACTAATCCTTTCCACTGTCGTAGGGAGGAGGCCATAGAGCTTTCGGAAGACTTTCACATCCGTTCTCCCATTGGGGGCGGCGTATAGGGATGAATCTACCACAACATCCCCCTAATGAGCGGTAATATTTAGTGTTCCCAACCGTCCCGGCCAGGGTGGGTAAGGACGGCAGGGTATAACGTCCGTCTTTGATAAAGACCGCCGTCCGAGGGGTTGACGCCCGGGCCCGGGAGTCTTAATACAAATTGCATCTTCCGGCCGTCCTTACCAGGGCCTGGCCGTCATCTATAGGGCCTGGCCGTCATTCGCAGGGCCCGGCCATCATCCGTAGGGCCCGGCTCTCATCTGCAGGGCCATTTGCAGGTGAGACCTATAGGGCCCGGCTGGCCATCCTGGGTAGTGGTTAGGACAGACCACAGGACGGGCGTCCGTCCAGGGCAGAGTTCCAGAAACCGGTGTCCGTCCCGTCCGAAGCCAAGGACGGACGGACTGGACGCTTGGGAGCACTGGTAATATTCCCACTGGCAATAACCATTTTGTCGGCCTTGGTGTGGATGCCGAGGCGATCCCTTTTGAAGGTGCTCAGAAAACAGTTTCTGACATGCTTGTAGCAATCATCCGAACGAAGAAGGTATCCTAAACGCTCTTCCTGGCGGCTGCTTGCGAGTTCGAGTTCTACTTTCAGTGCGGCGAGTCCGGTGGCAAGATTGACCAGGTCGAGGCCACGGGAATTACCAACAATTATGTCCTCTTTCACCTGTTTGACGTGCAGTTCCTCCGCTTTTG